CGTTGTAATTTTTATTGAAAAATTATATTATTTATTCCTGGCAAAAAGTATAAACTAATTAGATTACGCGAATTTTTAGTACTTTATGCTAAATACGTATCTAGTTTTGTATATTTCATAAGCGCAGACATAAAGATATTAATATAATGATATCGAGACTGCTACATTTAGATAGCATTAGATAATAATTTGGAATATAGTTTGTTTTTTGTGTGCGCATAATGGATTTTTTTATTAATTTAAAAAAAATTAATTATAATTTAAAAAATTTTACATATATAAATCCACGTTTTTTTTTTAATAAATTCGCTTAGTTCAAACGTTTTTATTTAGGGAACTTATGTGAAATTGGCAACATTCCACATGCAGGCACTAGTTAATTAAAGGGAGCAATTATTTTTATCTATAAACAATGAAAGATTTAATTAATATAATTTGAATAAAACTCGTAATATAAATTTGCAAAACAATTATAAAAAATATTTTTTTAATGTAGAATAACGCCATTTACAATATATGTATTTTACGCACATTTTAATTTTATATATTAACAAAGTAAAAATATATTTTATAAACGTATTCTAATTTTATAGATATTGAAATTGATTTTTTAAAAACTATAATATGCTTCCTTTAAATTTATACTTATCTTAAATCTAATCTTATCGACGGATTTCGAAAACCAGTACCAGCAATATTTTTGAATATTTTGCAATATTGAATTCACTTTTCATTTTTGAGATTACACTATAATATAATGATGCAAAGAGAATCTGACAATTCTTCTTTTTCAACATCCAATAATGACGAATTACGTCATTTCAGAATGTTTAATAATGTGTCTGAATTGACAAGACTACACAAATTGTGTGAAAGAGATATAGCGCGAAAGTGTGAGCGTCAGTGAATACGAAATGCTGTCTGAAAGATGTTTCGAATGAGTATGCCGAGGTATAACGCAGCGCGCAAGGTAATGAGTATAAATGTGTTTATTGCGCGAGCACGTTTTACCAAATAACAATGGAATACTGCATGCCTAGAAGTACTCTAGCTCTATACTGTAGGTATATTAAATTAGATTATTAGCGTAAAAGCAAAATGTCTATGTTTATATAATGTAACAAATTCTTGAAATATATGAACGCTATTAAACAAATGTGTATGAAGTTTAATTAAAATATCTTATTATTAACAGTGCCACGTAAAAATTAAACGTAAAGACGCTCATTCGTCATGATGTAATTATAATGAATTAAAGAGAAATCCTATCTTGCATAATAATAGTAACATGTAAAATTTTCCTTCTTTATTCTACTATTTTTATTTAAAAATCAAACATTGTTAGAAATTTTAACGCTAATTACATTTGTCAGTCAATTATATCTTGTATAATTGTATAATAAGATTGATTGTCTGTTTTTCTCTTATCGATCTCAGCATTTATATGATGTATTTCATCTAAAATCTAAAAGAAAAAACATTTAACAAAAACAATAACTTTCTGTTTCTGAACAAAATAGCTGATTATTTTTGTGGCCGTTAAAACATGTTGCAAATCCTTGCAAGAGTTTTTAAACCATTTAGTTAGAATAGCTAAGCTCTAAAACATCGGAACTTTGCGCCCTCTGCACCAATCGATAGTTTAGTTCACATAGCTACGTACATACATCCCGTAGTTACATTTCCATTAATTCTAACTTTGGTTCATTTAGTTCTTTGCACGCTTACAAACAACATTTAAATAAATGTTGTTATATCGTTTTAATTTAAAAACTTTTTATAAAAATATCTTTATTTTGAGTAAAAATAATCCATGAAAAATTTTCCGACTGTTTATTTATGAGTATAGTATCGCTAATTTGATTTTCAATTATTTACATTATAAATTTACATTAAAAATATAACGTAGACAAAATTATAGATTTCTATAATATTTTCAACATTATCTCTGGATGATATATTCTTAACCCTACGTTATTCGCGGAGGATGTAAAATACATTTACATTCTATCCATCTATGCGAAGGATCATGAAACTAAACAATATTAAATGTTGTTAGACTTACGTCGATAAGAGTTACATGCTGCACTTATCAAATTACGCCCTGTACTATACTATAAATAAAAAATCATAGTAAATATTTTTAAATTAACAAAATAATTAATTTGAAAACATTGCAGTTAAAAAAGTGTATTATGTTCGTTTATAAATAATAAAAAAGAGGGATCTTATGTTTTTGAGTCAATTCCTTTTTAACAAAAGTTATTAAATGCTATTTCCATATTACAAGCATTTATACTGTATTTAAGTTAATATATACATATATTGTCTTAATTGTTTATACAAAAACCTTCATATTTATATAAAAATTATTAAATTTGCAATATAATAGAAGGACTTAGCTATAATGCATAGATATTAAAACTAGTTTTAATAAAATTTTGTGTGTATAATTTTATTTCTCTTAAAATGTAAATTGTCAAATTAATTAAATTTTTCATAGAGTTTATTTTTTTTTACTTATGTAGCCGTTTGTATGCGAACGTATTTGCATAGCTATAATAATTACAATCAATGTACTATGTGTGATTTACATTTTATACATAAAGCTATATGAAAATTACTGATTGATTTTGCTAGACTCTTTTGTAGTCAAAGTATATTGATTATAAGCTCATACTTATTGTTAGTTTTGTATGTACATAAATTGCTCTTGCTATAAAGCTTTTGCTTGAACGCATTATTATCAAGATTAATACCTCAATTGCAATTAAGCGCATGATGACTGCTGGCTTATAATAGACCAACCACAATGAATCACAGCTTCATTAAGATTGAGCTATTATGAATTGGCAGTTAAAATTGACAATCAGGTTAGCTTGCAGGGTGGGTAATCTAATAGATGAACTCAAGGGTGTCCGCAGGGGGGGAGGTGCAAGAAGGAGCATTTGCTCCCTGAAATTAGAGTATAAGAAAATTCAGAATTTGCTCTTTCATTTTTACAAATAATAAATATGTTTGTCAAAGATGTGAGAGAGAAAGTACAACATAGGTACACAACGTTTAGACATTTGCTCTTCCCGATAGTTTGTACTAAAAATTTGGATCAAATTTGCCCCCCTCTGAAAAAATCCTGTGGACGTCCGTGAGTTTATAGAATAAGCAAGGTGAAACTCTGATTGTCCAGTAGTTAGGCTTCTCAATAAGTGTACTCAATTGGTGCGCTTTTTGTATTGCTATAATGTGCATTAAATGCAAATTTAATGCGGGGCAGATATGCTCTTTAAATGTGCATTTGCCATTATTTAATATCCACTTTTAATAACACTTTTAATAATTTTACTAATATGCAAAATTTGAATCGTCATCTTTTACGTCAAGATGATAATTAATTACTGATACTGCTTTTTACAGTAAAGCTTCTGCAATGTTTGAAAGTTATATGTCAAATGCTATATGTGCAAATTTATTTCAAACATTACGATCGTTGAAATATGCTTTGGAATCGCAGATTTATTCGTTGACTTAACAAAATTAATAATGCAATAAAGTCATATGATTTTGTTAATGTTAATAATAAATAATATTTTTCTAACAATATAATAATACAATGAAAAAACTTAATGTTGTGTAACAAATACGATATATATTTTAATTTATAATAACAATAATATGAAAATTTGAAAATAGTTTGTTATATTTGCAGCAAAATCATATCATTTATCATATCTATTCTACATTATTCAATAAGTTTTGATAAATTGTATTTATTTAATTTTTGAATATAGAGTGTAATATATTATAAAAATATAAAAAATATAACAGAAAATTAATTTAAAATGTAAAAACATATTATAATTTAAATGTCATTGTAAAAAATGCTAAAATATATTTAACAATTTTTTTTATTGTAGTGTGAAAACAATCTTTTTAATTATGTTTTATTACTTTCATAAATAAAATAATAATACTCAAAAATTAATAACCCATAAGGAACTTACGCGGAAACTATTTAGTATTTGACGATTTAGTATCTAATGTATGTTTATAACCTTTTGAACCTTATGATCTTATTATCATTGATCAAGTAAACACTTCGCTTAGTTCATATAAACACGATATAAACGATAATAAACAATAAAATCTAAGAATTGCAATTCTTGGACGTATATAGTGATTTCACATCTGACCTATGCACCGCATATATTTGCAATTAGTATAAATATTTACCAACTGTGAGAAAGATTCCGCTGAACCAGGCCCGGCGTTTTGTGTGTGGATGTGTGGAGCAATCCACACCCTATACAATCAGGTGGGTGTAAATTTCCACACCCACGTTTATATATTAATTATGTAACTTTAAAGAAAATAATATAAATCATGAAATTAGAATATTTGGAGGAATATTCAAATTTCGGCCTTCTCATTGGCTTCGAGAAATTTGTAATTGAAACTGAACCCGATGCAAAACCATTATTATCTTTTTATAAAGATTTGGAGCAGGATAGTCTGAGGCTACATCACCAACTTTTTTTGGACATTTTAAAAGTGTAGTGGTTAAATTTAAGAAAAATGTAGTGAATTTTTTAAAAATAAATTCGAATGTGAAGGACTTGGTTCCGGAATTTATAAAATCAATAAGATTAATTTTGACGATCCCGGCCTCGTCCTGCACGGCGCGTGGAGCGTTCCTTTTCGGCACTGAGAAGGCTGAAAACATGATTAAGGGCATCAACGAGCCAAATGCGTTTATACAACTCGGCAGTATTACAAATTCACAGAGATTTAGCGGAGGCTGTGATGGATGATATAATGGATCATAAATTATTAAATGAATTTATTAGTAAAAACAGTTATAGAGCATTCACGTTTTTAATTGTAAAAAATAAATAATTAAATGTTAAAAGAAAAATTTGCGCACTTAAAAATTTTATCAACTACTGGTGGAGTGGGGAGAGTGGGGAGAGTGGGGGAGGGGAGATTTTTTATCAGAAATTTCCACAGCCAGAGCCGAGATAAAACGCCGGGTCTGCGCAGAACGTTTATCCGTAAAGAACATTCTCAGCAAAATGAAGGCTTTTGAGCTCTGTATCTGCGCGTTAGCGTGTATCGTAAGTAATTTTCTAAAACAAAATAATCGAAACAGCCACGATGTGCAAATGTATTTGTAATTTAAGTTTTTAACATATTTTGCTATACACAATAAATATTAGTTTAAAATAATATCAAATTTTCACATAAAAATTTATTTTAAAAAATTACAATATTATCTAAAATAAAACTATAAAATTTATATTTTAGTCTCTCGCTTCATCTGTGAGTATAGTAAGTCAACTGGGAAAACAGTCTAATAACAACAATCAATTTGTAAATGCCTGCATTACTGAAGTTGGTATGAGTTATGGTAAGTACGAAGAATATACTTTATTCATTTACCTATGATCAATTCTAAATCTCTTTTCAGCGAATCTCTTCTTATGCGAATGCATAAACAAGTCTTATCTTTCTGAACTTTGTCATTTTCTAAATCCGTGATATTAATAATTAAGTAATAATACAAAAGAACAAAATAAAAAAATTTAATTATATTTTATTTATTAAAAAATATGTTTAAATGTTAATTGATATTTTTATAAAATTGTTTTTTCAAATATCTAAAATATATATCATATTAAAAAATAGGTATTTGTCTTCAATATTACGATTTACTTTTTAGACGATGACTTTGATGTAAGAGATATTATAAATGATAGTATTGACACTCCTGAATTGGAAGAAAAAACACGAAAGCATGGTTGTTTCATTGAGTGTGTCCTAAGAAAATTGAATTGGGTAAGATATATTAAAAATTAATTCTAAAATATAATATAAATTTTTATTAGTGTGTTCGCGTGACATTCGATTCAAAGTGTTACTTACATTTCAGATTATTAAAAATATAAAATTTTTTTAATATTGCAAAAGATTATTACTAAATGTTATTAGAATTATATCATTAACATTGACATTGATTAATGTCTTCGGATAGCATTTTATAATATTTATATAAGCAAAAAAGAATTATTTATTCATACATACGCAATAATTATATTATAAATAATGATATATAAATTTTACAAAACAATGCTTTTTTAATCAATATTAGATGGAAGGATCTGAACTTAAAGAGGAAAAACTTTACGCAGATATAAACAAAGCATTTACTAATCATCCCTTACAAACTCAAATACAAGAATTTATAAGTGATTGTGCTACAAAAGGTAAGCTATTATATCTATCATAATTACAAAAATATATAAATGATTTGGTTGTTGATAAGCTCACGACAATAGATAATTTTTAATTCCGATTTTGGCTGAGGAAATTTCTTTTAATCTTAATATTAAAACAACTGCAATATGATATATGTATTGTTGTGCCGCTGGCATAACAGAATCCGAATTCCGCGGGGAAACGGGACTTGGCGATTCACCGCGCCCGGCTTATAATTATTCGTATAAATACCTTACGCATTGACGCATCAGCGTTCTACATTTCGGGTATCGTGAGGTCGCGATTGCATAAATTCTCGATTCATGTTATCTTTTTCAGAACGCTTAGATAGGCGTCCTTAATTTATAATAATAATGATAATAATACTAGCTTTATTGATAATACATCAAAAACAAAATATATATACAAAATTAACATAAAAACACGAATGATACAAGATAAAATTTTTAGTAGTATCTCAAAAGGTAAAGCATCAGTATGAATTTAATTATATATTTTAATTATATATTTTAATTGGTTGCGTTATACTTATGTTTTGCTGAAGTATAACGCTTACTCGGGTCACGGGTGCACTCAGCCCCGTGACATTATAGCTTTCCGGAAAAGATAACATGAATCGAGAACGGTCGCGTAACCGCGACCTCGTATTAAGTTATATTTATTAACATATCGCATTTATATATATTCTTTTTAGTAAAAAATGCCAATCAAGAAGGATGTCAAAGAGGTGTTGTAGCAATGAAGTGTGGTGTGAAAGGTGTAAACAGATTGTTTCCCTTTGCAATGAATGCAGACGAAGAGATTGAAGAAAATGCAGAAAATGAAAATAATTAAATATAATCAATTTACATTATGCATTAAATGTACACCAATTAATATTCTATAACAATGTAATGATCTTTTAATAAAACATGACTCTTTTTACATGTCTCTACATAAAACACGTCTCTACATAAGTACTCTGTAAATAAATAAATAAAAATGTATACTTAAATTTCCTTATATTATTTTATATATTCATCTTTAAACAATAAGAATATATTTATATTATATATTTGTATTCTTATAATCTTGTAGCATTTAGTAATCTAATAAAACAATTTTTAATATTTAATTCTATCATTATTACATCATTATTTTTTTAGTATATAACACCAAAAAAAATATTTATTTTTAAAATATTCTAATTTCTTACAATTTAATAATAAAAACATTTTTTTATAAATAAGCTTCCATTTAGTAAAATTACAATTCAATTTCTAAAGTAAAAAATAAATATTACTTTATTTACAATATTTGTAATTTAATAACATTTCTATTATTATATTATTATTATTTTTTATTTAGATTTTTATTTTTGCCAGTTTATATTAAAGAATAGCATTAAAATTATAACAGGGTAACATGATTATTATGTTAATTAAATTATCTCTATTAATGTTACATAATAATTATATCACCTATGAACTTGTTCCTTTAACCCTGTTTTTTATATTTTGAAATAAGAATATAAAAGCGTAAGAGTATAACGTAGCTGCATAGTGTAGCTGCTGCTATTTCGAATAACACGTTTATTGCAGTGAAGAAATAATTTGCACAAAATGAAAAGTTTCGTGCTTTGCGCCTGTGTTTTAATACTTGTTGTAAGAGTACTCTCTTAGTAAACTACTTTAATCATCTCAACAAATTACAAAAACTTTATGTGAAATAATATATAAAATATCCAGACAACACAAAATCTAAAAATTGAATCATAAAACGTCTTTTAGATGTTTTTTAGACACTTTTGCGAGAGCTGTCTAAAAGATGACTAAAAGACGTCTTATATGTCAATTTTAGACTTTGTATTGTCGGGGTAGATAAAGTAAAAATATTTTTTTAATTTTAGTCCTGCAGCTCAGCAAAATTAAAAGAAAAGTTCAAACCAGAGAAAGCAGGAAATGATATTCTAACTTGCGCTACTGAGAACAATGCGACTAGGGGTAAGATATAATTACGTACACCATATTACACAGATTTCGTTTTCTATTAAAAATTTTTTTTGTCAGTTTTGTGAATCAATTCTGTTTTAGATTTAATTGGGTATTTTTCTTATAATTTTGTTTTATAATGTTTAACAATGTTTTGTTTAAATTAACATTTTTGCAAAAAAATACATTTTTTTTGCATTAATCGATGGCTCGCATTAATTCTTAGACGACTGGTACAAAGAAGAAGACGTAATGACTCTCTTACATGTCGAACCCGAAAATATAGAAAGAACAAGAAAAGTTGGCTGCTGGATTGCATGTGTCATGAAAAAAATGGATTTTGTAAGTGTTAATAAATATTATATATAATACAGTGTATGCTACGAATTTTATACATAATGCCCAACAATGCAAGATTAATTTATTATAATAAATAATAAAATTTTATTTTGTAATATTATAATTTCAATTTATAATTGCATTTCAATTCATAGTAAATTAACGCGCAGTTTATAGAACTGAAAAATTGTATATTTTACTCTTTTTATTATTTACATAAAAATTATCGGCTTGTTTGCTTTGCTTAAGGTCTTTAAAAATATTTTAATCAAAAAAGAGATAAATATATATTCGAACGCGTGCGTGCGTGCGTGCGTGCGTGCGTGCGTGCGTGTGTGTGTGTGTGTGTGTGTGTGTGTGTGTGTGTGAGAGAGAGAGAGAAAGGAAAAGAAATAAAAAACTCAGTGCAAAAAGCAAGCAACGTAAACTCATTATTAAGTTCCAAGATTTAGTCTCGATTGTATTTTTTTTGTTAATTAAATAAAATTTTAAATTATTAAAGAATTAATAATTTTATAATGCAATAATTATTAATATGTAATTAATGAAATATTATAATATGTTTGACGGTGAATTAATACAAAATTACTATTATTATATAATATTAGTGAAAATATATTATGCTATTTAATTTATAATTTTACATTTTAAGATACATAATTTTTAAATTAAATTAAATAAGTACAATAAATTTATGTTCTACCATTTCCTATTATTTATATTTTTATTTTAATAATATTAGATGGAAGGATCAAACATTAATGAAGAAAAAATTATTGGAAGATTAGATGAACTAGTCATAGATCCAGAAAATGCACGCGAACCTGTACAAAAATGCTTAAAAGAAGGTAAAATATCTTATAATACCATAATTACAAATATATAAAAATTGACATAATTGATTATAATTGCACTATAATTGACAAAAAATATGGAATTACAAACAAATTTACGTACGTTTTTTTTTATGTGCTGGTTTTAGAACATTAAATTTGCTATTAAAATACATAGTAGCTATAGAAAATATAATGGTATTATGTACTTTATTATCGTATAATTATATTTTTTAATTTTTATTTATGTAGTGAGAATTATTACTCAAAAATGTGAAAAAAGTTTCTCTATACTCACATGTCTTATGAGAAAGGCACATGAAGCACAAGGACATGAAGAACATGAAAGAGAAGAAACAGAAGAAAAACCAGAACCAGAAAAAGAAGATATTGTATTAGTGTAATTGAATACTAATACTGAAGATTGTCCATATAATTTTAATAATGCAA